TTCTAAATACCTATATACTTTGCCATTTGATTTTGGGGGTTTTTTTATGATGGAAAATCGGAGCTTCCCTTACCCCCTTCACTCACCAGGATGCAGGTCCAGCTTTGGCTGTCCCCCCTGCTGCTCTGTGGTCCTGAGCAGTAGGGCTGTGCAAAGTTTCAGGTGCTGATTTGATTTGGAGGAGATTTGGTGGCTGAGTCTCCGCATCTGAATTGAATCGGGAGACCAATAAAAAGGTCCGAATCGATTCAAAGCTCTCCGAATTGATTCAGAAAAGATTGGGAGAGATTTGGACATTTGGGCAGTCCCCACTCTTTGCTGCAGGGAGCTGGACCCAAACTCCATACCAGTAAGTAGAGGGTGGGGGACAGGGCTGGAGGAGAGGGAGGGGACCACGGGGGAACCCTATGAGTCTTCAGATTGTGGTACATTTTCTGTTTAAATGCACTTATTTAGACTTTCTCCTGTTCCCTCCCTCTACCTCCCCTCCCCAAGTAAAATGAAATCAGGTTCCACTACCTGAAGAGTGTGAAAAATACAAACCTGGTAACACAAGAATCTTAAAGACCCGATACAGATCAAAGCTTCTGTTTTGTACCAGTTCAATGGATCCCTGAACAGTGCTGCACTACACTGCTATTATTCAAGCAGGTGGCATATTATTATTCTTACAGATTGATACTTTTGCTTATTATCCCCTTGACTGCACAAAAAACACAGTAATTTGAATCTAATAATGCCTATAAAAACTTCCATTAGTAATACAGCTTGTAATTAAAGTCACAAAGAAAGTATCACTGGACTAGCATAACTATTGTTTTTAATTGATGTAGTCTGTTACCACATTTGGCTACACTGGCATCATTGATTCTTTGTAAGACAAAAAGACAGGACTTTTTGATAGGTTTGAAACCATTGCTGTACACATTTTTGTTTTATATATCCAAATTACGGTAATCTTGTAATAGAAGAAACCAAAAATAATCAAAATAAAAAATGGTTTATAAAGCAAACATAGCAGGAAAAGCTTCAGTGTCATATAAATTACTGCACTTATCAAATAATTAAGGACAGGAAAGAATGAAACATATGCTGACTCATTCAAAATACTTATAAGTAGCAGCTATGCAACTTAAATTTTGTTTTCCTCCTTGGAGTACTGAAATTCCCTATACTCCTGGGCAGAGCCATCCCTAGGGGTCTGTGGGGCCTGGGGCATATCAGCCTGTGTGGGGCCCAGGGGTGGGGGTGGCAAGCAGCCTGAGCCAGCAGTGCTCGATGGCGGCAAAGTCAGCGGCATTTGGCAGTGGTGGCATGGCACTGTCTGTGGGGCCCCTCAAAGTGCAGGGTGTGGGGCTGTTGCCCCAATTCATCCCTCCCCCCCCCCCCCAAGGATGGCTCTGCTCCTTAGTATATTTAGGAAACAGTGCTGGGTTTAAGGTGTACCTTATCAAAAACTTCCCAAGAAATGTTTTTTTGTGAAATATTGTATACACAATGTACTTGAATCCAGGATGAGTTTTTTTTTTCCTCCCGCACTCAACATGGAGAGAAAAGCCCCTCATCTTTGATTACAGAACAAGGCAGCAGAGGGCAGGCAGCTGCTATGGCTCTGGCTCCAACAGGAGTTTAGAGTTGGAGCCACAGCCACTGTTCCCTCACCTACCCCCTATGCCACTCATGAAACTCCCCCATCCCCAACTCTGCCCTCCCCTCCTCTTTCCCCCTACCTTCTGTTGTGGCTCCAGCTTGGTGCATGGAGCACATGATAGCTTCAGCCTCCCTGGCCTGGAAGCAACAATGACAATGGTGGCACCTCCAGCCCCAATTGGTCCTGGGGCAGCAGCTGCTAGTGCTAGATACCACTGCTGCCTGGCCATGCAGGAACTGAAGCCAGCATATGCTCCATGCTCTGAGCCAGTACATGGCTGAATCTGGAGCTGGAGCCAGAGCCATGACAGAGAGTAAGTGCGTGTTGGGGAGAGGGGGATAGGCAGCAAGGGAAGCCAAGCAGAGAAAGAGCAAATGGTGGGGTGGACAGAGGTGTTAGGGAGTGCAGATGACACAGGGGGGCAGGTGCTAGAGGGCCCAGGTACACGTGGAACGTGGAGTAGGCACCATGGGAACACCAGTGGTGGGGGGCAAGTGGTAGGTCCTCGCTCCTGCCCCCTGCTTTCCCTGTTGAGGTGGTGAGGAGATGGCTTTAAGACAACTCTCCAATAATTAGATTCAATACATGGAAAATTATAGCTATATAACTTTTCTAGGTGTAAAACCTAATTATTGTGGGGGAGGTATCTTAAATTCAAAGTGATCTTGGATTTGGATAAATACAAGATGTTTTCCAGGTTAGAGTGTGGGATTTTGATTCCTGATGTAAGGACTAGCTCAAAGCTAGAAATAAGAGATCTTCTTCTATGAAGCTGCTTATACAAGTATACTGATGTCTCATATGGCACTAGTGTCTGGGGTCTCATATGGCACCAGTTCAGTCCACAATCACAATTTACACAACTGGAGTTTATTTCCTTTTTTCTTTTCTGCCCATCTATACCACTCTGATTTTTCTTAGTATATAGCAATATATTAGGGACCAGCTGTTGTCTTCACTTCATTACTGGGGAGTCTGGATGTGCCAAACTATGTCAATTATTCATCTTTGTCTGGTTTCTCATATAGCACCAGTCCAGTCCACAATCAAATTTTATGTAACTGGAGTTAAATATGGTCTTTGCACTTGATATGTAACAACTGACATCCACAATTATTAAAAAAACAAAACTCAGTTTCTATTGCTTGTGTCCTTTTTCTTTTCTCTCCATCTATATCACTCTGATTCTTTCTTTGTCTGCTCCGTGGTTTTTTTCCTTTGCCTTCTTCCCTTTATCCAAAACAAAACACTCCCCAATCTTCATTGTATTCCAGTCAGGGAAGACCTCCTGCCACCTCAGATTAAGAGCCCATGGTTGTAACTGCATTCAACTCTTAGGTAAAAAAAACCGGAATATTAATCTGCTTTTCTTGAGTCAATGGTGTGAGTTCTACTACTCAGACATTTAGCTTAATGTGAGCTTGCCTATTTTCTAATATCAGTTTGTCCCATAATGCTGCTTGAACAATATAAGAAGCTAGCCTTCTCATAGTTGGACTTCTCCCTTTCCCAGTGGAACCACCCCGGAGAATATATGATCATAGTATTTGTGTGTGGAAGTTGGGAAACTTGCATATTGTCACACCTAACCCAGCCCTGTCAGGAAAAGAGAATCAGGACTGAAAATGGGGAGATAACTAAATTGAAAAGAGATAGAAAGAAAGATAAGTGATAGAGGAAGGATGTATATAGAGGTCTGGATAACATCTAAATCTTTAGGTTTTCCTAATTGACCACCTAGCACAGAAGAATGTAATAAATACCAATGGTGCTCAAACACCAAGAATGGCAGCACATTTTCCAAAGTAATTCAGTATCACAGGTTAAAAAAACACAAAATTATTTCAGTTTGAGTAAACAGAAATAAAAATGAAAGAAATTAAAAACCACAACAAAATGGTAGGAAGGAGGCAAATCCATGAATAATTTTACACACAGTATAAAAAAGAAATTAGAGACAAGAGAAATGATCAGGTCACAGGGAACAGAAATGTCAAATTTAAAGCTGAATTAATAAAATGGGTCATGAATGAATAAGTAATTATAGCCCTATCAGCATACTGCTTACACTACAAGTTGTTTATGCTAAGAGTGTTCAGCTAATTATTGAGACATTTTTAAGACCTTGCATTGCAGGCCATGCTGCAGTCTGGAATGCTCCACTATTATTTTCCCTGGAATGAGACACTGCTATATTTTTTGTGATTCAGTGTACTAATTAAAGTAAAACATTACCATTTGTTACAATCCATAATCCATGGTTTGCTCCTCTACCACTAATAAATGCAAAAGAAACCTGTAAGACTTTCTGCCTCATTAGGCAACCTCCTACAGGATTGCCCCATATTATTCCCAAATGTACTTTGTTCTGTCTTTATTAGACAACCATATCTTTTATGCTACTGACTTTTGTTTCTCCCTTTAGACAGATTGCACCATAACCTTGAATAAAACATTTTTAGGTGTACTCTAAGTAAAATTAATAAAATACTAGGTTTAACAGACATATTGGTTATATAAATCTTAATATCAGCATTGTTCATTCTTTTATTTCTAAATTTCAAATGTGCAAATGAATTAACACTGGGATCTTCCCATTCTATCTAATGACACCAACTCTGGGACTTTCTACATTTTCAGAGCTAATTTACAGAAGCTTTACTCTCATTAGCTGTTTTATGAGGGACTACAGAGTGCTGTGAAGGCACCTTTTTGAGCTAAGGAAATTAAAACAGTGAGAGGCTTGTACTCATGCATTAGAGGCAGGATTTTCAAAAGCACTTGGTGTCAGCCTCTACAGCATTCATTGACCCCAGTGGGAGCAAAATAAAGCCAAGAAGCACTTCTGGAAATCCCATGCTACATCCAAAATCATAGCTCTGTATTGGAGCTTCTCTCTTCTGACTCATCTCTAATCCAAAAACATATTATTGTTTATGTATATATTTTTTCTCCAGTTTTCCTGGAATTCATACTTGGCATCCTGTATAAAGAATAATCTCAAGTGTACATGTTAGATATTTTTATAAACACACAAAATATAAAATGTCTAACCCTTTTTTAGTCAATTACATGGGTAAAAAAAAAAGGAACTAGGAAGTTATACATGTATTTTGTTTATACTGTAATTATAATATTCTTAAAATTAACAGTAAAGAAACATTTTAAAGAAACATGAACCTGAATAACTCATTTTTAGAGGTACATCTTACCTTTTGACTTTATGATTAAACTTCTTTAATAACTAACAGACATTTTAAAAATATAGAACACATCCTCCATTTTCTCCAGAGATTTTATTACTAAGCAATTTATGAGTGTATGGAAATGAGAAATCAGTTGACATTACCTTAATGACTAAATCAAATTTCTGGTGCAAATCCCTGTTTATGGGTTGTAAGAGACTGAGTACAGCTGTTGTAAGATTCATATGGAAATATTGTGGATAATCCTCAGGAGTCCCTGCAAAAAGACATTGAGATTTGAACATATAATTGGAAGAAATAAGTACTGTTTGTAACAGCCTTATTTAAACATTGTATTTACTTCGCTCATTAAACAACAAACGAATAAAACTAAATGTGTTTAATACAAAAAATAAAACACTAACAAAAATTGCACTATATGAGACATTTGGTTGGGAAATGATTGTCTTACGCAAAACACTTAATTAAAAAAATATATAATCATTAGTACATAATATATACTATGCTATATATATAAAATAGTATATAATACTATTAATAGTATATATCATACACACATACATAGTATATACTATTACATGTATATTGGTTTTAAATACTGATAATATCTATTCATATCTTTAATTGGCTGTAGGGTTTGCAATTAGCATTAATCAAACAATCTTGACAACATTAGGCAGAATCGTGCCTACAAAAAATGTAGTTGAAGCAGCCTTGCTAATGACCTGCGATATCCCTTCTGCTCCAGTAGTACAAAGTGGGGGCCAACTGCATCAGTGAGATCTGTGCAT